AAAGAGTGTAGAAGCTGTATTGTTGCAGGTTCGGGGTTTCTTGAGCATCTGCTTTAGTGAGGGATTCTGTGTAGAGAAAAAACAAAGTGGAATGTTTATAGTTTTGAATACCATGTCAATTTCAATGGAGATTCAATAAACATTTTTTCAGATATTTTGGTTCTGAGGAGTTGACCCACACTGACTGAAAATTTTGAACCTGTAGTACTGAAGAATTGTAAAAATTTTATTTAAAACAGTTGTGCCGAAGAACATCAGAAGGTTAACAAATTCTTTGGCATCGCTGCAGCCAAGTTTCTGCCAAGCAATGCTATTGTCATCTTTAGAACCAGACAGATGGGAGACGTATTGCTGAAGCAAAGCTGGGCAGAAAAGAAACTTGTTGTTCTAACCCTGTGCCTTCTAATGGTTTACTAACTGGTCCTCAGTAAAACTAATTTTTCTGTAAATCGTGAAAGATACTATAAAGCATAGATTAATTGTCATAGTACTTTGAGTGCCATCTGTTTGCACTTGAATTCTTTTCACGTTATAGTTGTGTCCAGTTGCCAGCATATGAATGCAAAAATCTTTCACTATTGAAATAAATGGGAACATGTTTAAAATGCTGCTAGAGTTCAGAGTACTTAAGCATGTTTTCTTTTTTTTGTTTAAATTATTAAGAGCATGATTCTAAATATTTCTTAGGTCTGACACCTGAAAGCATGCGGCACAGCATGGCTCAGGTGAAGCTTTGGGCTCAGTAAAAGTTAGAACAATGAGTATACTGGGAGTAACAATACAAGCGTTTAAAGATAGCTTTCCACATTTTATAGCCTACATTAGTGCTCAGTACTCATCTAGACTGCTGTAGAGCCAACTGCAAGTTGTGCTAGAGAGTTTGCCAGATTGGGGCACTAAAGCAGCTCTAATTTAAAAGCATGTTGCTTTTGATTTCTGCTCCAGTGGCTGTCCTGTTTGTATTTTTGTTCTAATAGGCAATACACGCAGTAAGTTATCTATGTTTATCATCTGGCGTAGCTTTTCTTAGTACCAACAAATATAATTGAGTGGACTGTTACGAGGATACACAGGTTCTACAAAAGCTTGACTATGGTTTGGAATGTGCTTTTTAAGTAGTCTGTGGCTTGAGAAATGAGTCCTGGTCTCTACATATGCTTCATCAAAAAATGTCATGTTTGAAAATCTGAAATCTTCTCTTGCCGTTCATAACTTTCCGAATGCATAGTCAGATCCTGCATACACTACTTTTGTAATGAGTGAGCGCTGCTTTTTCTACTTCAGAGAGCACGCCTTAATCCATCGGTCTGTCAGTTTGAAAAGTACTGCTGTGATCTCGCATAACACAAACTTAGTTGAACCCGTTGCTCTGATGCCATGTTAGTTTTGAACTAGTGTAATTCACTTACTTCATTAGTGGAACGAAGGTAATGGATTTACACCAAGGAAGAGCTTAATCAGAGTCTTAATTTATGTATTCCTCTTACCTGAGTGATCAGCAGACCTGAGATCTCTTTTCAGGCGGATGGGGCCTACTACGGTGTTAGTTTTCCATGTGTATGAAGAAATAGCTCTTTTCTGCCTGGAGCTACAGCCTTCGGTACAGCGAGAGTTTGCGTTGTTGCTGTCACAAATTAAAATATCACACTGGAGATAAACTGATGGAAAGCTCCGCAGGAACCTGAAGGCATTAAATTTGAATCTTCCATAGTGTTCAAGCGGTGGGTAGGTTACCACAGTGTCATCTTTATTGCAGCTGCAACAGAATTTACAGATCTGTTGAAGTAGTCCACATACAGTTATCATTCTTGCTAACTACTGTTAACTGTACCTATAGCACTTAACTAGGGTGTTATTTTTCATATGTGGGCATACAATGATGTACTTTTTCCCTCTTCCCCAGTGCAATGTGGTGCTTGTTTTTCCTAGCTCTGTTTATGTAATGCCTTTATATTTCTATGAAACTTGGCTTCTAACCACAGTCTACTAGAGAAGATGAGAGACAAAAATAAAAAAAATATGGTTTGACATTTAGATTATATTTCTTCATATATTAGGACATGGTAATAAAATAAATTTAGCGTCTTACCCACTTCTGATTAAGTCATATGTTAGCGATCCAAAATCAGGTTGTGGAGATGCTATACAGCTATCAACAAACACCAGAAGATTTGGGTCAGTGGAATGAAGACTGACTTGAGCAAAAAGAGTTTGGTTCAAGTCTACGTAATATGGGTACTGACGTACAGGCTTGGAGAATGAATCTGAATCATAGAATGACATGCTAACATTGTATTTTCCCACAGCAGTTGTGTTTTGGATTATATTATTTTTTGTTATGTAAATGACTTCTAAGGTTGAATTGTTTTCCATTTTGCATTTTGCAATAATCTGTATGTTTTTTTTCCGGGTGATGATGTTGCCGGTTGCTGAGAGAGAGATGATGTTGGTGTAAGTGATGCTGTGACCTTCATCCTGTAAAAGGAATCATATGGAGCGCTGAGTTGTGATTGTACGAGCAGTGCAATTGGAAGCAGTTGTATTAAAGTTAACAAAGCCGCCCAGCTCTGCTTATCAGAGGCTCAAGATACCTTTGACATAGGTTGCAACCAAAAAAACATTATCAACCCTTCTGTTTTTTCAAAACACTGAACCAAGCCGCACAGCAAAAAGGTTAAGGAATTCTGCATGGAGTGTGGAAAGTACCAAAGCTATGCTTCAGTTATCCTTATCAAAAGAATGCTATGAATTAGCTCTTGGGAATCTCCACATCTTAAGGTTTTCTTCCATCCCTTGTGAACTGCAGGGTAAGTGCCAGCTGTCTCGCTTGCAGAGAATGTTTAAGTTACATACCTAACATTGTGCTACTTCTGATAACCTGGGTTGGCGAGGGAATGAAACATTTGGGGTTAATTTGTGTGGCTTCTGAACTTCTTTGAAAGGCTCATTGATCATTGGGTTCTTCTCTGATCGTTGGGTTCTTAAAGAAAAAAAGTGTCCTTTCTACTTCAAGACTGGAAACGTGCAATGGGATGAGCTAAGTGAAAGTAAATCAGCTTATTCACATGCTAGTTATAAACTGCTTTTTACAAGTTCTTAATATTTGTAAGCTATTGTTAGCTTATTCGCAAAACTTTTTTCACCCTTTACCTTTTTAGTTGTTCCACAGCTGGCTAATGGGAAGGAAAAGATGACTGCATCTGTTACAACTGCACTGCAAGATGGATCATTCAGCTGCAGGTGATTTTCATTATAACCAAGGGAGGCCAGGTAAGACTTGCTCAGAACAATTTTCATGCTATCCGAAGAGCAGGTAAGGAATGCTGCCATTGAAAGAGAAAGTTAAAAAACCCCCCACAGAACAAAAAACATTACCACAAACTGTGCTGTGGTCATTTTTCTGTTGGTCTAGATCCTTGAACCTGTTGCATGGTTCTTGATTTGTCAGTCTGAAACAGCTTACACGCGTTTGAAGTCATGCAGAAGTTGGAACAAAATTTCATGCTTGACTTCAAAAATGTTAGATAAGCAAAACCATGTAAAACTTGTGCTGAAAGTTTAATTTTAAACCTAATAACAATTAATTGCAGCCTTTATAAAAGGGAAAAGGACTCAACAGGATAAGAGCAGAATGGTGGGTGAGGAAATTGATTTGTGGCAGACATCGAGGCTTTAGAGGTGCCCTTTCCACCTCGGTTAATGAGAAGATGGGCATGCAAACATACGGAGCCAATAAGGAGAATGGTCCAGCTCTGGGGGAAAGGAAACTGCAACACACCTAAACCCTGTTTGACAAGCCAGTGCAGACCGTTTTCCTGAGTATTTCGGGGAACAAAAACATTTAAACTGACCAGTCAAAAAAGCTTACAGCTCTAGCATGGTAACAATGCCTGCTTTGTCCAAAAGAAGGAAAAACTCAGATTTTCAGTGGTGCTGGCCAGAAAGAGGACCAGAAAGAACAGGCTTGCTTTCGCAGATGGGTCAGGTAATAACCTGTGCTCTGAAGGTGAGACTAATGTGGGGTTTTTGTATGTAAAGAGCGTTAACGGCTACTGATAAAAAGACTTAAATCCCCAATATCAACCATCAGTTCTTTTTGATGTTTCTATGGGAAGAATCATATGCGAGCATAAGAAACAGCATTCTGTTCCTGCAGCAAGTGTACTCACTGTCGGGCTCCACAGGACCTGGCAGCGGAGCACTGGTATACTGAGCGGAAAACCCTCTGTAGGAGTTGGCGTAGTCTGTAGACAGCACGACTGTCATAACATTTGAAGAAGATTCAAATGTGGTCTTAGCAAGACCACATACTTTTCCTATTAAGCCAGTGTTAGTGGTGGGGCCATCATAGACTGCTGTGAAGTCAAATTGGCAGTTTTGGTCTAGTTCCAGGCTGTAGAAAGAGAAAAAATAATTACAGGGAAATCTGAGTATAGAGAATATTGTTCATACTGGATGGAGGGTCCAGTGCAGATAAAGTGTCTGATGAATTCTAGTCAACTGAAATAAAAGAACACATGAATAGACATTATTAAAACAGAGTAAAGCATGGAAAACCCTCAAAGGCAGGAAATGCCTAATAAGAGCGTGATTCTGCTCCCATTGAAATAACAAACATTTTGCTATAGCTCTCAAAAAGAAGCTGGATCAGCTTTGTTTTTATAGCTCTGATACTGTATATGTTGATTGCTACTTACTTACTAAAAATAACCACACCTTCAAATATTTATATATAAATATAAGAAAAGGATGCTGTATCTTAAAATAAAGAGCTTTTAATGCGCAGGGTTGACTTAATGTGGGTCTCTCAAACCTCTTGCGTATGTCACCAGGGGAGGGCTCTTGCCCTTTTCATCAATCTGCACCAGAGCTTATCTCCGCGCCTGCCGCCCTTGGCGAAACGCACCAATACTGTGGTGGGTGGGTACCTCCAGAACAACCTCTCTGTTCCTGAATCAGCAGATGGATCCTGGCCAGGGCTGGTGAGAACATACACGACACTATGCAGAGTTTATTATCTCAGAGGGCAGTGGTGAACATAATGATTTCCTATAGAATCCTATATGTTCCCTACTGAATTCTTATACTGCATTCTGCAGTCCGAATATCTCAAGAAATGTTCTTGAAGATACTGCCCTTTGAATTCCCTTGGTCTTGAGACTTTCTTCTGTGCACGGTGCCAACTGATGCAGGGAAAGCCACTACATATGGGAGACCAACACTGATAAAGAGCGATATGGCTCAGGAAAATCCATGCCCGTGTGGTTCCATCAGCATTTATACTTGGAAGTACTTAAGGCAGTGCTATGCTATATTCTTTGGCCAACAGCCAGCAATACGGAGGAAGAAGTTCTTTGGGCGATACTTGCTTTATTCTTCTTTTGAGTCTCGGTTCTAAATTGCAATTACAGTGCACGTGATGGTTTTAAACATGTTCCTTGTGTAGCAAAAGCTTTATTTATACTGATGGATTTAAATTCAGATCATTCAGGCTAGCTTAAAATGGACCTACAGCTCATGGCTAGTCACCTGAAATACTTTCTGCATTTCACTGATGGGCACTTCAGTAGCTATAGGGTAATAATGTATAGTGACGTGGAACACATTGCAATTACTTTATCATAAGAGTCAGCAAAGGACATTTGTATATATAGATATAAGAAGTATATAGATGTTCTAAAAGTCTGAAAGCACTTCTGCTTCCTGCATTTAAAGTAATGCCTTTAAACAGAATGAAAAAAGAGTAATAGAGCATTAGGGCATTTACTTACAAAAAGTCCTGAAACTGTAAGTTTATCTTGGAGTTTTTTTCTGTTTGTAAGTGCCAGACGCAGTATGTAAATTCAGGGTAAGATGCTGGGTAGTTGGGACTGGTAAATGTCCCATTGGGACCAGTTAATTGTCCCCCACAATTTTCAATTTCTGAAAAGAAGAGTAGGTACATTCTTAACATAATGGTATACATAATGAACCATTTAAAAAAATTAAAATTATTACTGTTTCTTTAGGATTCCGTTCCTTTGGAAATGACTAAAGGTACTAAAGAGAGAACTTCAACAGACAATTTCAGGTCAGGTGGATGTTACAAACTGAAGCCTGTTGTCGCTATATCTGTGATGCACAGTGTAATGACATCTCAGATGCCTGTAAATGACTTAGCTTTGACACTGTAAGCAATTTAGTTGTATCTACATTTCGGGTAAATTAGGTGCCGTCTTGAAAAACTGGTAATGAAGATGCCATAGCAGCCAAGAGAAACCCTGAGAGACTTTATATTAGAGAAAACTATGAAGCTTTGGTCATGATCTATATGGAAGTGCAAAATCTTCAAATTTGAGAATTTTTACTTGATAGACAAAGGCAAAATAAAGTCAAGTCAGTGGAAACCTTAGAAAGACAAATGTAGACTAGAAATAGGACACAATTTTTCACTTTCAGCAGCATAAATGGGGATGTGGTAACTACTCTGTAAAATTGAAGCTTTTAAGAGCTTAATACCATGCCACTCCGACCAGCAGAAGCAAAGGAACGGATCGCAAGCGAGGACTGATCTTGTCCAAGCTGTTCTTACCCTTCAAGGAAAAAAGTAAGGAGCTTGTTGCATGAAAACCCTTACTGACT